ATTTTAAAAACTCTTCTAACACCCAAACAACAGGAAAGGATTTAGCCGCTGAAAAACCACTGTGAGCCCATCTGCAGCTGTCCGGCAGTTTTGTGACACACATTTCGTCATGATTTGTGAGCGGCCACATGTTCGTTTCACTGTTATTTCACATGGACGCTGCAGCTTTGTAGCTGTCAGTTGAAGTTTGGTTTTCAGGTCACCTTTTCTGGCTGTATTTTTATTACCTTCAACTGTTCCCCCCCCAACCTCATTCTGTGTTTTCCTTTGGTCCCATTCCGACCCACAGATTATTAAAAACTTCCTGACGCAGCCATGTGGATCTCCTGTGACCCTGCCCTGGAGCAGTTTGCTGCTGTGCTTTGAGAAGCCTTTCCCAGCCGCGGCTCCGTGTCCTGCAACCCCCCTCCGGAGGCTGCTGTGCCCAGCTGCTCTGCAGGCCCCGCTGCTCGTCTCGCTGCCTCCACGTCTCCTTTCCCTTGCAATCCGCCTCCCTGCCGATCCGTGGTCACGGTCACTCCAGCTGCCTCCTCCTTGGGCTCCCGCGCTGCTTCTCCCACGGGTACCGAGTCTGGCGCTGTGTTTTTGCGGGCACTGCCGTTCCCCTCCACTCCTCAGAGGAGCCGCCGAGCTTTTCGGCTCGAAAAAACAGCAAAATGGGACAGTACATGCAGTGCCCTCGTGAAAAGGCTGTCTGTACGTCACAGCAGCAACGTGCACGTTTAGGTGGAGTGTCCCTTTGCACTGTTAGCTTAGCGGTTCTCATGGGTCTGGAGCTTGGAGGTGAGAGTTGCTGAGACCCAGCAATTTGTGAGAGGGATCGCGGTGCTTTAGGGCCACCTGGAATTTGTTTGTGCCTTTTGTCTGGGCCGGGCAGTTCAGGCGCCTGGTGAATGGGGAGGCAGCGTCTGTGCGTGGCCACCAAGTCCCCCCGGACGCAGCATCGGCCAAGCCCTGGAACAAGGCATCGCCTGTGCCCCAGCCACGGGACGGGACCAAATGTCGCTGACCTGGACAAACCGGCGATTAAACCAGCCTGGATGTTTTGTCTCCTGCTTCACTTGAACCAAAAATAAAGCAAATTTGCTTTCTGAGCCAGAAGGCTACATATGCATGTGCTGAACTTATAACTTCAAGACATGGAAAACCCCGACGTGCTGTTTCTCTTGCTTCCTGCGCCGCTTCCCCGGGGCGCTCATCTCTCTTCAGACGCCGTGTTCCCAGGCCACGTCCCGAGGGCTTGCTCTGCATCTCGGGAAGCTCCTCTCTGCCCGAGCCCTCCCCGCGGCTGCACAGCCGCTTATCCGCCCCCTCCCCGGGCACATACCGGCCCGCGGCCCCGTGCGGCTCCCTGCCGCGGGCTGGGCAGCCCTCCGGCCCTTGCCTTTCCAAGCCCATCCCGGGGCGCTCACTGAAAGCCCAAGGTTTTCCCGAAGAGGCCTTGGGGCGGCCTCAACAAACGCGGTTTCTGCGAACGCGATGGAACGCAGCGGCCGTGCCAGCCAGGATTAGGCAAGCAGGCCTCGCTAGCCCCGGGCTCGGCCCCACCGCTGCGTTCCCCGTGTGTGAAGGAAGCGGCAGGGAGACGGCGCCTCGCGAGGACTCGCAGCGAGCCCAGACACGAGGCCGCCGTCTGCCCCGTCGCGGGCCCGGCACACGGGCCGAGCCCTGGGCCTTGTGCACGAAGGCGAGCGCGGGGCTTGCCCGGGGCCAGTGCGCTGCCGTGCCACGAAGGTGCCCCGCTCTGCTGGGTGCTGCCCCACAGCCCGTGCCCAGACCCCCGCCCCACGGCTGCCCCCGGCTCCCGCCCCACGGCC